ATGTCCGCATCATTAATGAAGATGTTGAATTGTGTTGGCCCAAGGACAGAGCCTTGGGGGACCCCACTGGTCACAGGGCACCATGACGATTGACTTCCATCAACGACCACCCTCTGGGTCCGACCATGGAGCCAATTCCCCAGCCAGTGGATCATGGTGGACCCGAGGCCACAGTTGGCCAGTTTTGCCAAGAGGTGATCATGGGATACCAGGTCAAAGACTTTTTTAAAGTCAAGATATACAACAACAATCTCTCCCTTGTCCAGGTGATAGGCCAACTGGTCGTAAAAGGAAATAAGATTGGTCAAGCAAGACCTACCAGCAACAAACCCGAGCTGGCTATCCCTCAGGATGTTGCCATCAGGCAGTCAGTTAAGAATGGCCTCTTTGATAATCTTTTATAATGGCCTCTTAGATAATATGACTTTGAAGTCCATGAGTCCAGCCTTGGAAAGGCTGAAGGCCTTGGCACATATTCTCCATCCTAGGTCCCAAGCACACTGACCTGTTATTCTTTTCCTGCAGAGCCAGCTGTTCCTCCCGCAGCTGCAGGGCACTCTGCTGCTTCTCCTGGACCTCTTCCACCAGCCTCTGCTGCTCAGCTTGCTGTTGCTCCTGCTCTGCCTGGGCATCCTGCAGCCTGGAGTGTGTTGTAAGCAGTGTCTCCCGCAGGCACTCCAGCTCTGGGATGAAGAAGCAGACAGCATATCAGCCCCACCGGTGAGGCAACATCCATGGTAATGGCCAAGAGGCCAGGAAGGGGACCATGGCAAGGGTAGGGCCACATGTGAATAAGCAGGTGGGGAGAAGTGCAGCGTCGGTTGAGCCTGCTGGGATGGAGCATCTGGTGCCCACTACAGACAAGGTGCATCCATGGGTGAGGGCCTAACATCACACACCAAGCCTGTTCTCCAACCCACCTCTCGAGATGTGGGAGGGAACTTCAGAGCCACAGCCAAATAGGGCCAGGCTGGGAGCTGGGAGCAGTACTTCAATTAGGGTCCTACAAACAACAGGCTCTGCTTACACAGAGGGAGCAAGCTCAGATCTGCAGCCACACCTAAGTCTGGCCCTGAAGCCCTGGTAGCTGCACTGGTGCAGAACAGAGTATGGCTGACTGCTCCCACCTCTGGAAAGATGATCCAGCTGAAGCTGCAGGCTCTTGTTATCCTCCCGCAGGGCTCGGTTCTCACTACTCAACTGAGAAGTGGGCTCCAGCCCATGGATGTAGATGTTGGTGGGTGATCCTGCAACAAGGAGCCACAGTGACACACAGAACAAAGCTGCTCAAGCTTCCCCAAAAGCTGGCCTTCGGGGGCTTCCAGGGGTCTGCACCTGGAGGGATTCTGCCACAGCAGGGAAGGAGTTGCTCAGGGCCAATCCTGCAGGCTGGCCCCACAGGGAAGAGAAAAGAGATGTGAATGACCTGCTTGACAGTGTGTGGGGGCTCCTTAATGCTGTCAAGGTGTTTATAGGCATCCCTCAGAGGCACTGGAAGTTGGCTGCAGCCAAGGCTGGGGATTTTGACTGGGGTGTGCCAGAGCTCCTGCTGCAACTTAAAGGTTCTTGGCTAGAGGGTCTTGCCCCTCTGCTCAGCTTCAGACTAATTGCTATATTTGGGGTCAGGAATGAATTTAACCCCATGGTCAGATCGGTACGGACTGTAGGAGGTTTTGCCTTCCTCTGTAACAGGGGGCATGGCCCTCAACCTGGGATCTCTTGACAACCTTCTTACAGAAGCAGGACGTTGGCTGTCCTTGTTCCCCTGCTTTACCTGGCAGATTAGCCTGTTGTCTTGTGTTGTGTCAGGATTGATGGTAGTTTTACTAAGAGGTTAGATGATGGATGTGTTCAGGATGTTTTTTATAGGGATGCTCCTGCCTCAGGCAAGGGGTTGGACTAGATGACCTCTGGAGGTCCCTTTCATCTCTGCTTCTCTATGATTCTCTGATTCTGTGAAATGGGGGCCAGACCCCTCTGCAGCTCTGAGAGAGCAGGCACACCCATGCACCTCAGGAGCTCCATTCTGAGGGGTGCTGAGCAGGAGCACAGCGATGGCAGCATCCCACCCTGAGTTGAAGATTTCCCTTCCTCTCCCCCCAGAACCTGGGCATCCCAAGGGGTCTGCCCCTTTGGGAACAATATTGCCTGGGCTGCCTGGGGTCACATTTGTCTGGGAGGTGCCCAGCCCAGCCCTGCCCCAAGCCCCCAGGCCTCTGATGCCTGGGGCCTCAGCTTGTACCATTGCTCTTGGTGGTGGACGCAATGCGGTTCTCCAGCTGCTCCCTCAGCCGGTCGTTGGTGCAGATGGACTCCTCCAAGCGCTGGCGCAGGCTGCGGATCTCAGCCAAGTGCTCTTCCAGCAAGTCAGCCCCTGCTCCACCCAGCAAGAGAGAAGCAGAATGAGGTGCCAAGGGGTCAGCTTGGGAGCAGAGGCAGCTTGTTACCCAGGCCTAGTCCACAGTGTTGTCCAGGTGACCTCCCCACAGGCATCTCTACTTTACCAAGACTCACCCTTCCCCAAAACCCCAAATCAGCAGGCAAAAGGAGCAGGATATGAATGAAGAGGTTGTTGGGCCAAATCTGCTGCAGAAAGAAGGGTGACCTGGGAATCTCTATCTAACCCAAAACCTGGGCTGGGCTGGGCTGGGTTGGGCGAGGCATGTCCTTGGGGAATCAGAACTGAGATCATCTCAAACCCAAGTGCCTCTGTCAGGGGTGAGCCCATGTCTCTGCTCTCCATTTATCCACCCTCCTTCACCAGCCCCCACTGGGCACATACACAGTCCTGTCCCTGCCTCCCTCGGTACATCCCACACCCCCATCCTACTCACTGAGGTGGCTCACTTCCAACAGCCCTTCCCCACAGCACCAGGCACCACAGCTCCTCACAGTACCCTCTGCCCATCATGGTACTCCCACTTCATCTTACCTGTCAGCTTCTGGCTGGATGGATAACCCGATGACCCAGAGGACAACTCTCCGTAAAAGGTCCCTTTCTGAGGTTGGCTCAGGTGAGGCAGATCCCAGAGGGCACCACTGTCCACAAAGCTAGCCTCAACTTTCCTGTGAGGCTGAGTCAAGCTTTGCAGGGGATGAGGCTGAGGAGGAGCCATGTGGGCAGCATGGAGGCAGTGGGAAGAGGAGGAGGGACTGGCCTCATTGAAGGTGCTGGTCAGGGAGGCTGCTTTCACTGGTGGCACAGTAAGGGTCACACCTGGACAGAAATGAGCAGAGGTGAAGGCCAGGCAGACAGAGAGGGAGTAGCACAGGTAGGAAGACTGGGTGCTACCACAGGGAGGAAGCTGGATATCACCTTGGAAAGCCTGTCCCAGGGGACACCTCAAGGTGCCCCAGGCCCTGAGTGCACAGGGGCCCATGGATGTCCCTGGACAACAAAAGGGTGGCTGCACAGTTCAGACAGTCTCCCAGAGGCTGCTGAAGGGACTCTTTCCCCACTGTCCCCCTGGCCTTGGCCTTGCTGAAGCAGCCTGAGACCAGCAGGGAAGCCCTCATCAAGCATTTGAACACAGGCTCCCAGGGCAGAAAGCCTGGTCAGATCAGGATGTCTCCTTATGTCAAGGTGGGGTCTACCCCAGCCCTCCCTTGCAGTCCCTTCAGACACCTCTGCATAGACAGAATTGGTTCTATATTAGGGTCTATTCATTTGACCCCCCCAAGCCAGGCCTTCAACCTCACACACGCCAGAGATCCCCTGGCAGAGACTCCTGAATCCTGCACACAACTTCTTGGCCATGATCTTTCTCTTTGCTTAATCACTCCACACCCCTGGTGTTACCTAAAGGCCCAGTACACACCACTGCCCCCACACCCAACCCCAGTGCAGCCCTTGAGGTAGCTCCCCTCATTGCACCCAGCTTCCTTCGCTGCAAAACCAGTTCCCCTCTAGGCACACATAAACTGAAGAGTACAGTTGACTGGACCATGCCATGGCACCAACCTGCAGGGCATCTGCAGACATATAGCCAGTCCTGTAAGCTGTCATGCACCGGCGAGAGTCAGGTGGCTTTAATGAAAGGCCCAGGGAGCAAGAGCTGGCAAGCAGACACCACAAGGAAGAAGGCTTCTCAGACTGACATGTGCTAAGCCGGGAGGCTGTGAGCTGACTACAACCAAGGCCAGCATCAGTGCCGGGATAGTGGGTACAGACACTAGAACACTGAACACAGAGCAGTGGGACCTGGGTGGCTGGGAGGGACTTGGAGGAAGCAGGGACCCTCTCTGGGGGCACTTCCAACACTGCCACTGTGACTGCTTCTGTGAAATGAGCCAGGAGATCTCAGCCCTGCTCCTAGAAAGAGCCAGCCACCTCCCAGTTGACACCAGCTGTTCCTGTCATGGCCATCTCGGCAGACAAGCCAGAGACTGACTGAAGCCATCCTTCTGGCTAGTGCCCTGCTGCAGTCCATGCTGGGGATTCAGGGCACAGGCCAGCCTCTGGGGCTGGAGGACAGGCCCCTGCCTGTGGCATTATGCACACCAGCAAGATGATGAGCCTCAATGCAAGAGCTGTCTGGGGTGCCAGACCCAAATAATCTCTCTCAACATCCTGCACTTCAGTCTCTGCAGTAAAGGTATGTTCAGGGGCTCCTCATCTAAATGTCTCACCCCCTGCACCCCCCTTCCCAGTCTCTGCACTATGAGTTCAGGTTGGGGCTAGGATCCTCCTCTTCCAGTTGCTGTACTGTGGGGTACGAGTCCCCCCAAGCCCCCATTTTTGCTCCTCATCCAATCCCTTTCTGTCAGCAATTTTTTCCTAGCTTGTCCTGATGTTGGGAATTTCCATTGTTTCCCTTGCATTTCTCTAGTTAGACCCTGGCCACCAGCCTCTCTCAGACTTGCTAGTGCTCCCAGAGGCTCCATGAAACCTGCTGGACCCTCAGTACCACACACTAGCCCCTCTCTCCTGACTTTTCTTGTCTTCTAAGTTTGGTGGGTGCTGGGGGACAGGGTGGTTTGGGAGCCAGGCTGGACTAAAGCAGGAGACCCCAGTGTGATGAGGACAGCATGTGCCTCAGACGGACAGACAGACAGACAAGGCCTGGGCAGGTGGAATGGTTCTGCATGCCAAGCTATTGCAGAAAGCCATGCAGAGCCACATGCCAATGTGGGGGAGGCAGAAAAACCAAGCAGGAGGCTCTCACTTTCTCCCAGCTGCTTCTGCAGCATCTGCAGCTCCTGCTGCACTTCGGCCAAGGAGAAGACAGGTGTCCCACAGCAACCCAAGAGAGGAGGGGGAGCAAAAGGAGAGGAGCCGGCAGGCAAGAAGGAGGACGGCCCAGGGGCAAATGGAGGCAGAGGGAGGCTAAATGGCTTGGACAAGGAGTTGAAGAGCAGCCCTGGAGATAGGAGAAATACCGTAGATGGGTAGAAAGGTTAACATGACACCCAGAGCTGGGAATCTGCCTGTGCCACAGGGAGGCAACATCAGGCAATGCACCCTCTCCCAAGCCCTCAGAGCCTTCCCACACATGGGCCAGACCTGAGCAACTCGCCTGAGGTGAACAGAGCTGCTCTGAATTACCTCAGTGTGGGAAGGGTTGTCAAGCCCACAGGGTGTAACACCAACCAGAGACTGGAAACAAGCCTGGCTAACAGGCACCCAGCTCTCCAATCCTGCCCTGCCACTGTGCTCCACCACACACAAGAGGCTGGGGGTCCTGACCACCTGCTCAGTCTGATGTTGGGCCTATTCTCTGCCTATGTAACTTCTGAGCATCTGTCCCCATGAGTCCATTGTGCCCAGGCAGCCCTAGGTTTGGAGGGGGTAAATGCTCCTGTGTACTCAATGGACCAAACCATGTACTTCTCTGTCCTCTAAGAGACATGCATGGTCCTGACCCCTCTGAGTGCTGACTGCATTCATGGATCAAGCTCTCTGTAAACCAGCACAGAAGGAAAGGATGTTCTGAGCAGATGGGTAATGGCATTACTGAGCTGTTCCAGCCCAGTGGGAAAGGCTCCCCAGCACCAAGAAACATCTGCTCTGCCTCTCAGAGCTCTGGTAACTTCCTACCCAGGGAGGCTTCACCCCTGCCACAGCCCATACCTGTGCATGCCTGGCCAGGATCCATGGGATGGTGCTGTGAAGATGGCATGGTGGTGGGGTTATCTCTGATGGACTCCGCCCGAGCTTCATGGGATGCGGTGGCAGGGTATGAATTAGATGACAGAGCAGGACCATTACCAGAGTGAGTGACCAAATCTATGGGAGTCCACACATGAGAGAGAATGCTTTGTGTTACAGAGGGGATGCCAGAGGCCCAGGCCCAAGCCCCTGACAGCCAGCTCACTCCCTTCCCAGCTGCTTTAAGGGTAAGTGTTAGTTCCTTTACAGGTCTTTTCCCAAGGAATAAGCCAGGAATAGCCTCTAGAGAGCTGGTAAGCAGAGAGGAGGCTGGAAATAGCTAAATCCCATGAGCAGGTTTGATATTCAGCTTGCCATCTAAAACAGCACCCTGCTGGGCTGGGGACCATGGGGTATTCCCAGCAGGACAATGGGCTCTCCAGGTTCAGAGAAGGGAAACAAAAATCTTCCACATGGAAAACAGTCCTGAGAGCCTGATCAAAGTACAAAGGAGAAACCAGCCACTGCAGGAAACAGGGAGCAGGAGTGGGTCCAACCACAACACTTGGGAGAAGGCAGCACATGAGTGATGGAAAGAGAACTACAGAGGTCCAGTGCCCAGCCCTGTAGCAAGCATCTTGAGGCCAGATTCCACCCTCAGTTACACTGCTGTAAGCCAACAGCGAATTAGTTCCCTCCACAAAGTTACTCCAGAGTCACGCCAGAGTGAACGGAGTCAGGATCAGTGACTCTAGGACTCCCAGCAGTTAATGTGTAAACAGGAGACACCAGAGTAACAAGCTCTTGTGATTACTGGTGACCAAGATGAGTACCCCTGTCAGTACCTGCTTGGCCTGGCTCATCTGTGCAGACATGAAGCACTTTGGGGCAAGGACCAGTTTAGAGCATAATACAAGGAGGCTTGTTTTGACAGGAAGGCCTCAGCTATGTGGGGAAGGTGTGATGGCAAGGTCCTTGCCAGCTCTCCCTGGCTGCAGGAGCATGGCGTGCCCATCTTTTGATGGGGCAGTTTCAGGGAGGGCACAGTCTGTATCCTTCCAACCGGAAAAGAGTTCCCAGTAATATGAGAAAGTGATAAGGACTGAGGTACAGCAAATACTCATTCTTTACCACACAGACAGAACAGCTCCATTGTGGTTCTTCAAGATATTTGGAGTCAGCATGGGTAGTGCATGTAGAGTCACACATGCACTACATCCACATGAGACCAGCAACCACCTGGCTGACATGTGCCCTGTGTTTTCTGTAAAGGCATAATGGGGCAGGGTGGCCATGATCCTCCCTCAGCTCCTTCACAGCTCCTTCATA